CCTCGTAAACGTAGAAGACGAATCGATCGAATCCGAACAATACCGACGTCTCGATGAATTCAAGTAACTTCCAGGTTGTCACGTTACCGAAAAGTGGAGATATGCAGATGGAGAACCGACTTTCTCTCTCACTCTCTCTTTTCACTTTTTTTCTCTCCGTCGAGTTTTTTTCTTTCTTACTATCAATTTTATTTACTACAATATTTGGACTTTTTGATTTAACATCACCAACGTCATTATTATCAATGTTATTATTATTATTGTTGTTATTATTGTTATTACTATTATTATTATTATTGTTGTTGTTGTTGTTGCTGTTATTTTTAATGTACGAAATATTATGAAACAAACTTCCAATGTGAGTATCAGTGTTGGCGTTATTATTAATACTTTGCCTCGGACTATCAAGAACATCACTCTTATTGCCCCTACTACTATTACTACTACTACTACCAACACCACCATGATCACGTGATCCAAGTATCCTGACGGGTATGATAGTTCCGGTCTCTGACGACCAATCAAAATCATCTTCCTCTGGGTCCTTCCGGTAGAGGACGACGAAACATGGCGGTGACTTCACTTCCGCTGGCACCTGCAGTGAAGTCATTTAGGGTGGTACTGATGATGACGACGATGACTGAGATATGACGTTGATAAATATCATTACTATTATTATTATTATTATTACTACTACTACTACTACTACTACTACTACTACTACTATTACTGACAAAAACGACCTAGCTGTAGCAGCAAGCAACCTTAATACATGTTTGATACGTTGTTAACACACAAGCACCTCCCAGGTTCAAACGCGCGCTTTGCCAAAATAAAAGTTAAACACTTTGGTTTGTTACGGTGCTTGCACAAGCACGTAGATAATTATATATGCCGCCTGACGTGAATGTGGGAGTTGTGAGGCGCAGATGCTCCCAATTAAAAACTGAATAACCATGTGATAGTTTTTGAGCACTTTTAAAAAGCGTTCATCATGCAGTGAAGTAACATTTAGAAGGGTGCAACTGCCATCCCATCACTACTAAACTGCATCTAACTGCATCCAATTAAAAAAATTTTAACGCAAAAACAACCAGCTGACATCTGAAACTCAAAAAAAAAACCGACACTAATTAGCACATAGGCATCAAATCATGTGAACTCATTCTTACAGTACTTTGCTCAATTTCGCACATACATACACATACAATAAACACACATACATACAAATACACACACACACATACAAATACACACACACATACATACATACATACATAAAATCACACGCACACACAAACAGACAGACAGACACATCAACCAACATGACATGAAAGTATGAATCCACCCATCTTCTTCCCATGATTCTCACACATCTCGTATTTTTTCTGAACCCTACTGACCACAACTTCCGGCTGTCGCCGCGGACGAACATCATCACCACCACTACCACCAACGTCATCATCATCATCTTCTTCAAAAGTCAACGTAAAAACGCAAAACAGTGGCGGTGGATCTTGTTTGAGAGGCAGGAAGAACATCATCCTGACGAGACTTCCGTTGTGTTTGTTGTCAAAATCGTTCGGACGATCGTCATAGTAGGCAGAGAAGACGTGAGCGTTCGTAAGGGGCTGCTGGAAGGTGAAGTCGAACTTTTCAAAAGCGAATTCGACAGTCTTCGAATACGATTTCGACCACCAGTTCGACATCGAGATCGCCGAAGATCGCGACGTCCTGTTTTCGTGTGGTGGCTGTGGTTGTTGTGGTGGCTGTGTTTGTTGTGGTGGCATCATGTTGAGATTTTGAACGCTGTCGTCTTGATTATTATTAATATTATTAGCAAACTTTTTCAAGTATTTACAACACTTCCCGTACACACCTCCCATCCAGAAGAACTGATGAGCCAGCTTCCATAGCTTATTATTCTTATTATTTCTGTTGTTACTATCATCATCATCATCATCATCATATTTGATATTATTATTATTGTTATTATTGTTTTTAGATGCTATTTTTATTATGCCTCCTTTGCTATTAGTGTTGGTGTTATTATTATTATTATTATTACTACTACTACTACTACTACTATCGCCACCATTCTTATCATTACTATTACTTTCTTTACTATTACTAATACTATTACTAGTCCTACCATTACTATTACGGCTTTCATCGCCGTGAGTCATGGCACTTTTATTATTATCATCATGTGGTAGGTCAGTTTTTGTGATGATGTTATCATCGTTGTCGTAGGAATCATCATCGTAACGACTCTTGTCTCTGTAATCGTTTTGAAGTTTGCTGTGGAATAAGTACATGAAAGTGAAGTAAGTCAGTCCTAAGACCAGCACGGTCTTTCTGAAATTAACTCTACTCAGGCAAAACTGTGCCAGAGTTTTAAAGTACCTTGAGTTACGATGGTAAGTTGGAGAGTGATGATGGTGACGATGAGGAAGTTGTTGTTGGTGGTGATGATGGTGGGTAGGAAGAAGCGGATGTTGATGATGATGATAATTGTTGTCAGGTGGTGGGGGTGAGTTTGGGTGTTGGTTGGAGTTGAGGTCACCGAGTTGTAGTTGTTGGTTTTGTTGTGAGGATGATGTCATTGTTATGAGTTGTTGTTGTTAGACTTGTCTATGTTGTTGTTGTTTCGTTTCTTTGTTGTTGTTTCGTTTCTTAGTTTTTTTTGTTTGTTGTTGTTGTGGTTTTATTGTTGTTGCTGCTCTTCGTCGTTGTTGGAATGTTCGGAGAAAAAAGAAAAAATTGAGGAATGACTGCGACGTGTTTTAATAAATAGGTCTAAAATTTGGTTAATTAACAAAATAAATATAAAAATAAACATTCAACGAAAATATCACACACACAAACATACACACACACACACACAAACACACATACACACACACACATTTGCTAGAATATTAACAACTAAACGTCAGTAGTAAGAGTAAGTAATTTGCGAACCGTTATGCATGGTTTTCTATTGCATTCATGAAATAAAATTATAATAGAACCTCTTTGACATAATTACCTCTCTACTTTCTCACATTCGCACTCTCCCTCCCCCATCTTCTCTCTCTTTCTCTTCATACCTTATCATAATTCTGTTTGCACGTTAATTAGTAGTTATTCCAAGTATGAAAAGTTGTTAAATAAATAATTATCGGAGAACTTTCTGAATGTGATTATGTTGTTTCTTTTTTTAGCTCTTGTTCTCGCTCTCTTTTTCTTTCTCTCTCTGTCTTTTTTTCTCTCCCTCTCTATTTCTCTTTCTTTCTCTGTCTCTCTTTCTCTTGCTCTCTTTCTTTCTCTCTCTCTTTCTACTTGCTATCAACTAATCATTCTTAGAGTGAAAAGTTATAAAAAAAAATTAAACGAAGAATGAAATATTCCTAAACATGAAGGTCCCCCGCGATGAGACACAAATGTAACTCGTAAAAATTTCACTAGGTGGCAAGTTATATTACTACTTCTACTACTACTACTACTACTACTACTACTACTACTACTACTATTACTACTACTACTACTAAAACTACTACTACCGGCAACAATATTGCAGTAGTAGCAGCAACAGTAGTTGTTGTAGTAGCAGCAGCAACAGTAGTAGTAGCAGCAGTAGTAGCAGTAGTAGTAGAAGTAGTAAAAATAATAAGGATACAAGTTCCCATGAGTTCAACCTTGTATACACGTGTAATAAAAATTAAACAATTCATCATCTTCACATGAATTTTGGTATGTACATTTGTTTACATGTGTGTGTGTGTGTGTATGTGTGCATGTACGTGCATTTGTTTGCGTGTGTGTGTGTCTGCTTGTCTATGTAGCAATGATATGTATTGATAGGTGATAATATAAAATTCATCTTTCATTTAACAGCCATCAACGAGTTTACATGTATGCATGGAAATAAAACTATGAATGATATTAAGGATAATTATTGCAAATTATTATATTTTTAGCACAAATAATGGTAATAATAATGACACTCTTGATAATTGCAGATTAGTAACTCTAGTTTGTATAAAATAGTTCGTATAATAGCAATTTGCATGTGCGTTTTTGTCAGATGTCAATGCATACAAAGTTATTTCTTGGTTTAATCGTTTTATTAGATACCTTTTTAGAAAGACCTAATCATTTAATCACGTGATAAAGCGATTAGTCGTATTTGGTTGGCTAAGTTTTTGATCATACGCGAGGAACTTTTCTGCCAGTAACACAGATTTTACGTTTAGTCAGTGGAATGAAGGAAAAAAGATTGTATTTTTATGAATGTTAAAATGATTAAATTGAAATAATTAAAAGAGGGCTTCAGCCCCTCTAAGCCGGTCTTGTACGCACACCCACACAAGCATACACAGGCACAGACACAAATACATACAAACATACACAGATTTCAACATCGATCAATCTTTTGGCGATTTATTTAATGCATTTTAAAATTTGGAAAAATAATAATTAGAGAGCTGTGTGCGTATGTACCTATTGTAAATGTGTGGGTGATTATTCAAAGTTATTGGATTTATTTTTAAATGTATGTGTCTGTAAATTAGAGACCGACCGAAATTGTTTTTTTTCTTTCGGCCGAAACCGAAACAAAGCCGAAATTGAAATTTCAGTTTCGGCCGAAACCGAAATAAGGCCGAATCTAAAAAATAGGTTTCGGCCGAAACCGAAAAAAACCGAAACTAAAAAAATATTTTCGGCCGAAACCGAAACCGAATATTGAAAATTTTAATAGAACATCATTTATATAACTTTTTACTTTAAAAATTTAGACAGTTACTTCAAAACAACAAAGAAGTTTAAAATTTTTTTTATAGACAATGAAATGTTATTCTTATTATACTTGTGCGTATATATATATAATATATATAAATAAATAAATATATATATATGGTGAGAATTTATAAATTATATCTTGTGTGTATGTGTATATAAATAGCGCTGAACCATGAAAAATTGAGTTGAGCTTAAGTCCATCTCTGCATAAATTATGTTGATGTGTTTATCAGGCATGGTCAAATTTCAATAAAGATAAACTTTGTAAATTTTAGAGTCATATATATATATATATATACATATATATATAGACCACCCAATACAATAAGGATTATATATACATTTATATGCACTTATATATATGAGTGTGATGATTTATAATTGCGTTATGTTGTATGATGATATTGAAAGCTTTTCTTTGTCTATATGCAAATCTTTGCAATTTTAAGTATAATATATATATATATATATATATATACATAGGTGGTAATATATAAATGATGTAGTTTTATATAGTTATTTAAGAATATCAAACATTTCAGCAATAATCCACTTGTAGTTCAGTTTTCCTTAGAAGACATTTATCACTTTCATGTAATTTACTCAAGTATTTTTGAAAAAAAAATATTTTCGGTTTTTTTCGGCAAATATGATTTAGTTTCGGCCGAAACCGAAAAACGGCCGAAACTGAAATATAACATTCGGCCGAAACCGAAAAACGGCCGAAACTAGAAAAATTGGCAGTTTCGGCGCCGAAACCGAAACCGAAACCGAATTTCGGTCGGTCTCTACTGTAAATTTGTGTATGCTTCTGTTTTGTATGCGTGTCTGTGTGTGTGTGTGCGTGTGTGTTTTTGTATGTGTGCACCTGCAAGAAAGAAAATCTATTAAGAGCAAAACGTTTGATAGACAATACAAAACATGGAGGCAAGTGACGTAAAACCACTCATCTTCTTCTCAAATCGATCGAAGTTTAAAAAGAGAGAGAAAGAAAAAGAGAGAGGGGGGGGCAGAAAACCAGAAAATGAAAAAAACTGAAAGAGAGAGGAAGCGAAAGAAAAAATACAGTTAGTAAATGGCAAGATTCAAAAAGACAGACAATATGAGAGACAGAAAAACAAGAGCGAGATAAAAAAAAAGGGAGAGAGAGAGAGAGAGAAGATAAAACTCAATTAATACGATTAAAATTTTGGTGAATGATGATGATGATGAAAGTTACGACAGAGACGGTAATTACGCTGTAGTTAATATTGATCCGCCGACGCGAGTATGTTTTCTACAACGTCAAATGATAGTAATTATGATACCAGTAAGATGATGATGATGATGATGATGATGCCGGTAAGATGATGATGATGATGATGTCAGTAAGATGATGATGGTGATGTCAGTATGATGATAATGATGATGATCTGATAACACTTTTTCTGTTGTGCTTGCGCTGGATTAAGATGACATTCACATTGATGACTGATAGGAGTAATAAGGATGTTGAGTGATAGATGATGAAGATGACGATGACAATGATGACGACGATGAGGAACAAGTGACACAAGGACTTCACGAACACCAACAGCAACAGTAACGACGACAACAACAACAACGACAACAACAGTAGCACCAACAATAACAACAACAATAACAACAACAACCACAACAAATGGCAAACCACAACAACAACAACATCAATAACAACAACGACAATGCTATTATTAATAATAAAACAACAACAACAATAAAAATGATAATAATAATGATAATTAATCAGATGATATCAATCACCTTCTTGTTATATTACGGTGGTCATCAGTGGTGAACGCTCAGTGTTAACATCATGTATAAATCATGGTATCCATACCGTATCATGATATAAAATTATTGTTATTAATAATATTATTATTATTGATAATTCACTACACTATAATTATCAATTGATTCGTGATAAAATATTAATTAAACTATTTTTGAAAAAATTAGCTAGTTAACGTTCATAATTAAATCAATAATTAACTGATTAATTCGATATTTTTAATTAGCAATTTGGAGCTATCGCGTCATTAAATTAATTAAGTATAATTAACCAAATGTTTAGTTAAACAACTGTTATTATCGTCATTGTAATAATTTATATCATTATTATTATGATAACTGTTTTATTATTATATTTATTTACAATTTATCCTACAATAACGTCTGATATATACGAATAAACTATCTACACGTGCTAACTTGCACCTATTTGCTCGCTTTAAATTTTACGGCTGTGATTGTCGGTAGTTATATAAACAGGACATTTTTTTACTCTCTCTCTCTCTCTCTCTCTTCCTCTCTCTCTCTCTGTCTTTCCTTCTCTCTCTCTCACACACTCTTTCACTCTCTTTATTTTTCTCTCTCTCCTCTCCTTCTCTCTCTCTCTATTTCTCTTTATATATATACATATGTTTATAGATATATATATATATATAGAGAGAGTGAAGATAAGTGTGGTCCAAAGTTCTTTCAATTTAATAAACATTTATATTTATTTTGAAATTTATATATACATATATATGTATATAAATATATATTAATTTTATGTTTCGTTCTTAAATTGTGGCATGTATATATGCATTTAATCGTGTGTAAATAAATATTGTAAAATAGTGTATAAACGCAGGTAATTGTTCAATTTTGCATCTAAAGACAAATATTGCGACAGATAAAACGAGTGAAAAGAGAGAGAGAGAGAGAGAGAAACATTTAGAGAGAGTGAGAAAGAGAGAAAAGATGAAGATCACGATTGTATAGTAATAAACCCATTCATATAAGCATAAGCTTGCTTATATATGTTTATATAAGAACATATGTATACATAATTTGTTCATATTTTTATACATGTGTGTGTTTATTAGAATTATTATTTGCTTATAATTATACGTATGGTAGTCAGTTATAATGTAATGTTTGTTGAGCAAACTATGGCATGCAACAGAAAAACAATGGGAAACACAAAAATTGATATATGCAGGTGTGTTTGTAAAGGTAAGTTTTTCTTAAAATTTTGTGCCTGTGAGTGTGTGTCTGTGTGTTTGTGTCTGTATATGTCTGTGTGTTTGTGTATGTGTGTGTGTGTGTGTCTGTGTGTTTGTGTATGTGTGTTTTCTTTTTGCTCCTTGGGGCTGAAATGAAAACTTTGCTATGATCAAGGCTAAAATGAACTCGATGTATGGTAAATTTACATATGTAAATTTACAAACATTTTGACTGAATACTTTTACAGCTTCTGATAACGATGAAATTAAGCT